ACGCAAATGACTTGAGCAGAATCAGAAAATAAAGCATTCTCAATCTTTGTGCAAAGAAGTATTCTCCATTTTCATTGCTTTTAGTGGTTTCTAATTTCAGACGTAATTACTTTGATCAATTCCATTGAACATATTATAATAAGTATTAGAATTTTGAGATTGATATTCTAAAATTAAGAGAAAAACAAGAAAAATTCTCACAGTATCTTTAGCACCATTACCTTGACTTCCTTGTATAGTTTCTTCTCCCATGCATAAAGTTTCTCCAGAGTTGATGAAAGGTTTCCAGGCTTCAGATTGAAGTCTTTGTCCGGTTCTGCACTATATGCTTTTGCCATTTTCATTATTCTAGAAGTTAATCGTATTGATGACCTGAGTGGACGACGTGAAGACAAAACTGAAGGTGCCACCAGATACAGGATCCTGGAAAATATCACTGTATAAAAAAAATATTTAGATTTTCTATGAAGCAAGAAGGTAAAAGTTTCCTCAGAGGGTCAAACCCTGTATTCATCAGCCAAAGCAACTTAAAAGTCATATATTAGACGAGGATTGTCCAGTCAAAGCACTAAACTAAGTAATTTGCTCTGGATCCTTGAAAATGTAACCCAGAGGTTCAGTTCACTCAATGTTTCTTCTATTATTCTATTTCAAGGACTTCAAGAATTTAATATATAAGCACTCAGAAAAGATGTTTAAAATCCATAAAATGGCTCATTGTATGTTATTTTTTGTGTTTTCTGCTTTATATATTACCAGTGTAAAAAGTAGACCGTTTATGACTCTCCATAGCAACAGAGAGTTTCTAGCAATGCCAGAATACAATATCATTTGTTTCCAAAATTGTGAGGTAAGGAAAGGTAGGAACTCATTTAATCATGCCAGAAAGGGTTGTCAGGCTTGTGACTTTGTTCCACACATTCTTAAAACAAAAAGAAAAAGAAACTTGTTTAAATCACTCTAAAGCCCAGCAGCATCATATTTGCAATGGATGTCTTGCTTGATAGATTCAGAGCTGCTAGTCTATCTTGACACTGCTAGTCTATATGGATAATAGCAATGCCTTTTGAAAAGTAGATAC